AATTTATTCTGAGCATGCGCAGACGTTCTGTCAATGTTGCCGGGAGAGGGAATTGTTGATGAAAATCGTAAAAAAAACCCACTTGGGATTTTCAGATCTGGAAAAAAAAATTACATGCATACTCAGCAGAGACTTGTTCATCAACCTGCCAAGTTTCACTGATATCTGCTGTAGAATTTCTGAGAAAATGTTGGAGACGGAATATGGAAAACAGAAAATGGACATTTGACATAACCTGAATTATAGGTCCCCTTTTCAGGCTGCGCCTGAACGGGGACTAATTATACAAACAATCTCAGAGAAACAGTTTTTAAAGCAACAAGTTTGTATCAAATTGCAAACTAAGTTACAGTGCACAATATGTCTCTCAATAGGTTGTATGTTTAAATCAATGACTACAAGAAACAAAGATCTGGTGTATAGATGAATATTAAAAGTACAAAATGGCTACCAGTCAGCCATATTTGTTTGAATCATAGGGGAAACTATTTATCAAAATTGCTTTAATCATCTCTAAGAAACATCTGAGTGAGGTTTTATTTAATTAGTGAAACTATCTTCAACATTTTGTAGTTAGCTTCATAATAAATCTATAGAAGCTAAATAAATGTCAACCATGAAAATTAAAATCTCAAACAGCAAACCATTGATAAATTATTAGGTTCTGGATGACTTACATGTTGAGCAATACTGTCCAAGATAGCAAGTAGGACATGTACACTGATACGTATCACAGGATCCTGGGATAGCAACACAAGTACCTCCATTCTGACATTGATGGTTGTCACATGCATTCAATACTGAAAGATTAAAGTTTTAGCAATTATGAATTTCAAATCATCATGCAGATTTGATTTATTATACATGTATCTGCTACAGCTATGACTATAAGAAATTAGTGTGAACCAATCATCAATTCAAAGTATATGTAATATAAAGTTCAAGTTTTATATTGACAATATGAAATAAAATAAATATATACTATTAAAATGAAAAAGAAAGAATGAAGCAAATGAAAAAAAATTACACAATGATACAAATTACACTTACAAGTTGTACAATATTGTCCAGTATAACATCCACTGCATGTACAGGTATAGTCAGTACAAGATCCAGGTACAGCTACACAGAAACCACCATTCTGACATTGAGAATTCTGGCATGGATTCAATACTGTGAAATGAAAATACAAACAATTAACAAATAATGCTCATTGATATGTTGTATGGTAATATGTGTAGAACTAATTTCATAGTATATGTGTGGGTATATTTGGGGATGGTGGCGTGTGTGAGGGTGGCAGTGGGTTGTGTGGGGATGATGGTGGTAATGAAATTAATTTCTCCCAGAAAATCTTAATAACAGTGACATTGATTGAAATTGACTTACATTGTGTACAATATTGTCCAGTATAACATCCAGTACATGTACAGGTATAGTCAGTACAAGATCCAGGTACAGCTACACAGAAACCACCATTCTGACATTGAGAATTCTGGCATGGATTCAATACTGTGAAATGAAAATACAAACAATTAACAAATAATGCTCATTGATATGCTGTACGGTAATATGTGTAGAACTAATTTCATAGTATATGTGTGGGTATATTTGGGGATGGTGGG